ACGATATGTGAAAGAGCACAATTTTGTGGGACAGTAGGACATATCTATAATAAGCTAGCGTACGTAACATTTTGTTAATTTTTATGTAAATTATATATCTCACATCAAAGTTGTACATTTAAATGTGTAAAGGCTTATCGATTTATAATCTATGAAACCATTATACGAAAACTGTGGTATTAAAAACCTGTTTTCTCTTACCCATATATTTAATACCGAGAAACTTGGGATTACCTCATAATTGTAATAGCGATATATGGATTGCGTTGACTGAAAATCTATAGTGTACGTCACGTACACTATAGATTTTCAGTACTGGCAGTGAATATCGGAACGCAATCATAATCGGTTTTATCTAATTTGTTATCTAATCGTTAATTTGTCATTTGTATTCTGTATTTTATGATTATTATTATTTTCTATATACTCGAATTTCTTTATTTATTTTAATAAAATAGTCTATTTTTTTGCCGGATAATGTTATCCATCTTCATTGCGAGAATGTTTTCTTCCAAAGCTATAACTTTGGAAGAAAAGTATAGTTTGAGATATATCTCTCCAAATCGCAAGCGTAAAAAAGGACGTACACGATTCGACGCTCTTTCTTGGTGTGGGATATTGAAATTCAAATGAAGACTGTCCAATCCCTATAAACAACTAACTCATGAAATATTAAAATGCTTACAAAACAACTGCACATACACGCAAGCTAATACAGCTTACCTATGTTTCTTCTGTTTTTTATGGATGTTTATTTAAAACAGCATAACATTTTTTCTTAAAACGGATTTTGTTACTAAGATTTATTCAAGTTATTATCTTTTGTTGTAACAAATAAAATATGAGATTTTAATGTTTGCCCATAATCCCCATGCCTACTCGATAACAGAATGTGCCTATGGCCGTATTAAAATATTAATTTGTTAAATTAGCTATTTATCCTTCGATTACGAGAGATACATCAACATTCGAGTAAATCGAAGTTGAGCATTCCGGTATGAAACGTTTTGAACGACGATTTGCATCAAACTTGGAAAATTGCGTTTTATTCATAAATATTCCATGGCGTATACCATTTCGAAAAAACAACAGGCAGGACGCCGCGCCAGTCGGTGGATCGGGTCATATTTCTTAGCGTTCTAGAGAGGCCGGCCACGCAGACCGGAACGATCATTCTCCTCATTCCAGCGGACGCAGTGAGTACAAGAACAGATCGTACGTCGTGCCAGTTTTCCGTGCTGTCTGCTAATACATATATTTAAGTGTCATCATAATCTCACATTTATTTAGCATACTCGTCAACAAAATTTATTTATTATGTGATAAAAACATATATATTATACATTTTTACTTTACTAAGCGTGACGATGTCGGAGACTGGTTTGTGCGTACGTCGTTTACACGTAAGCTAATACTTGTGTATCGAGCAGGCAAGCGTCTATAGTGATGGGTGAGTGTTCGGCTATATGTATAATTTGAAGATAAACTCGGTAGGAGAAAACATTCGATGGCCTTACAAGTTGGAGCTACAATGTCGTGCAATACCGCGTATCTCACGGACGCCGGATTCACGCGCAAAGCCGCGACGCTTTCGATGATTTTGCTAGGTAAGAGGATCTATCTGCTCGCTTTGCTCGTTTCTTCCGTCCGCTGACTCGACCGAATTGAAACCGAACGTATTCCCTGATGCCTTAAATCTTCTCTAAATATTATACATATCTGCATATCTATGATTTGAACAGACACACGGCTATTGCGTTTCTTTTATATTTATTAATGTATTTTATTAAAAAAAAGATCGTGCCAAAAAAAAAAAACAGTTGTAAACGCGGATGAATTAATAAATCTGCAATTGCGAGATATACTTTAGATATGATTTCATAATTAACTTAATTTTGTTAAATATTTAACTTTGAATTTATGATAATACATTACATAATACATACATAATTATACATTTTCTCTTTTGCTTAATTTTACAGGCAGTTACATAACATATATTTTTTTTAATTTTATGGACTATTTTATTGATAACTAATTTTTCTATTAACGATAAGGTACTCGTGTAACGCCCCAATTTCAGGGATTTGAATAAGACAAAATTTGGATATATTAGCTCGGAATCAAAAGTTCGAATTAGTGAACGTGTCGAAGGAAATTTCTCGTTACTCCTTCTTTCTTTCAGGTGGTGCTTCTTTGTACTGTTTCTTCAGTCGTCGGCGGAAAATAAATGCTCGGGATCTTATCATAATAACCGGTTGCAATTCCGGTTTGGGCTATAGCCTAGCGATGCACTGTCGTGCCAAGGGTGCGACGGTTTTGGCCGGAGTGCGCGAAACAGCAACAATGCCTAATTCTAACGCTGCTGTTGAAGCATTGGAGAACAAAGGCGTCATCGTTCATCAACTCGATATCACGAATGAACGATCCGCTCGAGACTTTCGAGACAAAGTTAAGAGCTTGTTGAAGGAACGGCAATTAGGTGAGCGTTGTAAAAAAAAAAAAAAAAAAACGAACGACTGAAGAAAGTACGTAGGCATGGAGTAAATTTACAGTCTGTAAGATTTGTTTATCGCATTGTCCGTAGAACTGTGCGCGTTGGTGAATAACGCGGGGGTGATGATCTTCGGCGAATTCGAGTGGCAAACGCAGAATCTCGCGGAGCTTCAGGTAAACGTGAATCTGTTGGGAACGATGAGAATCACGCGGGAGCTGATGCCGATTTTGCGAGAGAATCGCAGCAGAATTATCGTGATATCCAGCCATTGTGCCGACGAGCCTTTGCCGGGCATAAGCATCTATGGGGCTACGAAGGCCGCCCTCCACGCGTGGGCCACTTCCCTTCGGGTAGAGGTCGGCAAGTACGGGGTCGAAGTGGTCTCCTTCATACCTGGTCAGTACAAAACTCCTAGAATTGTATCGTAATCGTAACTTTATCGGCACTGAGAAAAACAAGTTATTTGGATGTGTAAAATACATTTTATTTTTTCGAGTTTTTTCTCTTCTTGTTACGATTCTCGCGTTTGTAGCCGTGGTGTCTTTATCTCGAGATGTGTGAAAATAAGTTTCTTTCTTTCTCTTTCTCTACCGCGACAGGTGGTTTTGTATCACAAAGCAACATCATGAAACGGCAACGGTTACACTTTGACGAAATGAGACAACACATGTCGGACGAAGCGAAACAATTCTACGGCAATTATTTTACTCGATACGCAGAGTACTTTTCTCTGGCTTCATCTATGGAAAATCAAGGCAGTTTAAAAGTTTTGTCAGATCCGAGAATCTACGAAACCTTCGACAACGCTCTTCTTGACATCTATCCTTCGGCGGTTTACAGGTAAACTACTGTTAGTGATGATCAGTTAGTGAAGTAGTTAGAATCAGACCTTGTCCTAAATTAGAAATTTGTGATCATCCTGATGAAATTATAGCGTCAAGCATGCGCGCGTGAAAAACGTCGCAACTGTTTTGTACCGATTACATACGTTAAACTAAATGATTGCTATATTATTTTCAGATGTGAGCCGTGGAGATATTTCTTTTATCGGATATTATTCAAAAGCACTCCAATATGGATGCGTGACCGATTGGCACAACGCTTCGTCGTGGTGCCGTCATGGCAGGCCGATAAACAGTGAATCATCATTATTATGTTACTCTAAATAGAGTTTTCCTTCTTTATTATATTCGATGCTCTTTTGCATTTTCTCAAAAGAAGAATGATTGTGAAGAAGAATTATGATTTATTTAAAATTTAAAAAACTGAATATGACACAATACGACATTTGTAAAATGGAAGAATAATTATTATATATCCCTCTCTCTTTCTCCTCTTTCATAATCTCAATCAAATATTTTCTCGAACGACTAGTCTACGAGATTAACGCGAGTGAATCATTTTCTTTATTATTTTATCTGTTAACGTTGCGCAGTTGATGTAGCTCTGTTTGCCGAGGCAAGTTGGACTTATCAAGAACAATTGCTTTATTTAATCGTTATAGTAGATTACTTTAATCGTTTGGCGAGTGCGCAAAGAATTCCATGTTTATGACTGATAATTTCCGTAAACTTGCACCGTCATCAGCGCAGGTGTTAACTTTCAAGTGTCTGGACGAATTTTTTCTTTGATTCCGAGCTTATCAAGTTTTAGGGCAGCCAGGTGTTCGATTAGATATTATCGAACAAATAAATAAGCGATTCTCTCACCGATCGAAAATCACTTTGGTTGCCGTCGCTCCTGTGAAGACACTACCATGAAAGTCCTCGCATCCGGTAAATCTTGACGTGCATTAATTTATTTTCCAATTCACTCAGTGTTTTTTTCCGAAGTATAATGTTTGATCGTACATTTTACACGTCGCAGTCTGCAGCATCATATTCGCGACCTGCATCGCGGCGTCCCTGGCAGAGACCCCGTATGTTCCGTGCGACGATGGACCTACGCCGCAATCGTTGAGGGTGGAAGGATGCAATAGTTCTCCTTGCAACTTATACAGAGGGACCAATTTAAAGGCTCAATGGGACTTTGCCGCCAGTAAGTAATATTACGCATACGAAAAAAGAATCCAGGAAAGCATGGCATGAATCTTATCAAGCTTGAGTTCGGGATTAATGCAGATCCGATCAGAGATTGCAGCTAGCGAACTAACAGTAAGCTTGCGTTTCGCTAGAACGATTATTTGCAGAATTTGCAAACGTAATGCGACAACATATATTGACGAAAGCCAAACGGAATTTGTCGAACGCAACCTTAAAGCAAATTGGCGATCCTACCGCTGAATTTCCGACATCTGCGTCAAACGATGCAATATGCATATATTACGAGTTCGGAGTTTGCTTGACTTTTATAAAGTCAATGCGACGCGTGCATTTTGTTGGCAAAATTTGCGATATTTTTGCCAGTATCGTATACCCCGATAGCGCGTTGCTTGATGAGAATATATTTATCGGCTTTTCCGCCGACAAAATTTGCAGAGAACCTTTTTCAAAAGGTCTGCTCTCGAAAAACGATCGCTCTATTGTGAGATTCATCTCGAGCAATTTTGCCATCGCTAAACGCTACATATATTTTTGATGCAACACTTTTCGAGAGGAATTGACTGCCTTTTGATGATACGTTTATCTTGTCTACAGACGCCGATGCAAAAACGTTAAAACCCCGCGTGAAAGTCACGATTTGGGGAAGCACAATAAACTATCCGTATCCCGAGCAGGATGCATGCAAGTCCCTGACGAACGGTGAATGCCCGTTGAACGAGGGCGACGAGGCAACGTACAACTTATTGATGCCGATATCTAAGGTTTATCCATCTTTGACTCTGACCATCGAGTTCGGCCTGGTCGACGAGAACAAAAATGTGCAAGTGTGCTTCAAGGTGGATGGCAAAGTGACCGATAAATAAGTTCTCGCCTCACGGCCTCGATAGCTTTAACACACCTATGATAACGAAGCGAATCACCAAGTCAAATCATCCTAGCAATTAATATTTTTCTCACGAAAAAAGTCTTTGTTTCGTGTTTCGCGACGATCGTTCGCGACGATATCGCCAAATTATACGTATATATTTTATAGCTGTGAGCGGCGAACCAAGTACGAATTAACGATCAAGTTGAGCGTTAAGATATACCTATCCATTCTCCTACCTACCCGTATTACAATTTATCTTATAAGATGTCACGTAGTTTCGATCGTTTCTTCTGGTCAAAATTGGACTCACCTTTCGTTGTTACTGGCCAAATCCATTTTGGCTGTATGTCAGCCAGAAAATGAGAAGGAGACAAACTCCTTCAATGCCGGCTGATTAACAGCGCCGGTAGACGTACGATTATAATGTTGCGGTCGATTACGAATCGTTGTGATCGTTAATAAGCGCGCGTTAATTATATCGGAAAAAAATAAACAACCACGTTAGATCGTTGATAAAAGTTTAATTAAGTGACTTCATTTTGATTTTAATTTCACAATGATACGCGTAATTAAATGTATTCGTCGTAAGAATTATACAGTAGCAATGGAAAGTAAAATAGAATTATATATATATCGTCAAGAAATGAAAGAATTTTATGTTAATCGCGTTCTAATAAAAATCGTCGTGATTATATCTCATAATCAGTCGTGAATATCTGGATTTCAATAGTACAATGTAGAAACACGAGACAACAGAAATTTAAAAATTAATCAAAGACTCGATCAATCAATTATTTATTAATGAATGGACAAACAATGCTTGGTATGAACCGAATCGCGAACCGAATCACGAATCGCTACTTAATCTCACTTTAGATATCAAGTGAGATATTCAGACTAAATGACGTGAGATCCAAAGGGACTAATAATTTCTCCACATAATTAATATCGCAATCAATATGATGAATTTATCAAGTTCTTACGCTGTAACATTTGTCTTTGCAAATTCTTATATACATATCTATATAAATATTTCGTTATTATAACGCAAATTGTTATCAAATTTATATTTAATATGACATATCAGAATACATATCTACGATTATATTATGTATTTTAATGTAGTGTAATTGATACAAAAACTATCGATTTTGAGATAATTTTCATAAAAAATGATTCTGTCCCGCAACAAAATATTCAATGGATCTCACGTTATTTTATTTTGCTTTGCTTAATACAAAGCCAAGCTACATGGATAGACTGTAAAAGATTAGGATAAAATCGGTGTATTATACAGTGTATATACATATGTATATACAACAAAAATAAATACGATTAACATTTTTTAGTGTGATCTATATACCTATGTATGTACAATAAGGTTCATGTGGAATATATGCAACGTGAGTTAAAATATTTTTTAGTCTTTTTTATTTGTAATGCATGCACATTGAATATATTAATACATTTTGCTTATTTGCACCAATTTATGTAATATTTAATCCTGAAGGAATATTTGGGATAGGAAGAGAGAGAGAGAGAGAGAGAGAGAGAGAGAGAGAGAGAGAGAAAGAGAGAAAAGAAAATGAAGAAACACATTTAATTGTTTTATCAGAAATTTTCTTATCTGTATAATCAATTAATTTATTTTATTTTATTAAACCTATTATTTTATTTTATTATCCTATCTACAGATACTTATATCTTTTATTATTTTTAATTGTATAATTTGTAATTGAATTATTTATTGTCTATCTATAAAACATTGTTTTCTATTTATTTTAATTGTTTATAAAAAATATAAATATTTTTAAAATTTTTATTTTGCACGAAAAATAAAAGTTACAAAAAACTTAAATAAAATCTTATATCCGAAAAATGTTATTCTATATTTTATAAAATTTTATTTTAGTTCTTTGTCCTTTTCTATATTTCTTAATAATTTTAAAAATAAATTTAAAAAATGTAATTGATGTAATAAATCTAAATAATTGATTTTAATATTGCACAAGAAAGATCATAACAAATATCCTTTATATACTTGATAATAAAATATATATATCTGCCAAATTTAACCCTTCGTCCCACTAGGTTTTTTTGGCACCTTTACGCCGCATAGGTGGGTCGTTTTTGTCTTGACGTTTTTTTTAAGTGTTAAAGTGTTACAAAAAATCTGAAAAAATTCATGAAGGTAATTCAAACCTTCAATTTGAAGTATCAATCATAAAATTATAAGCAATTAATTTTTTTCACATATTTTTTATTTAAGAAATGGAGCAACTACAACTACAACTTGTAAAATCATCTTTTACTCA